ATCATTCGAATATAGCAACAACTTCTGTCAACACTTTTGTTGAGTTTGGAAATTTTCACCTTTTTCTACGGATATCAAAAGTTCTGCTCGACTTACTCACAGCATACTGAAATTTACAGCTGCATTTAATCATTGTTAGATATTGCAGCTATAATTGTTTAAGCAGATATGACGGAATCGACTGTCGTTTTTATATATTCCCGCAAAACGTTGTACATGTAAGCGTTGTATGCAGTAAATCATCAGTTTAGACAGAAAACAACACTATTACAGGTAGAATTTTCCGACTAAAAACGAACTTGTCAGAAAAGTTTCAGAATTATATCAAGTTGAAATTGAGTCAGAAAAAGAGATCTTTGAAATTACATACGTTATCGCTATCATGTTTTGAGAACACCACTTGTTGTCTATTAAGGTTGTGCAAACCAAACAGGACTATGAGCGTAGTACACTCTCAAAATTATTTTTTCGAAACCAAATTTTACATATAAAAATCTCATAATGATTCTCCGTCAGCTGAAAAGACTCCCCTATACCATAAATAATTCAAGCATCAATATAATAGGCCTAGTAAAAATAGTTTCATTATTTTTCAATTAAATCGAAAGTTTTCTAGATATTAGTTCATAATCAAAATGATTTGATTTATATGTACCGTTATAATATGCACCGTTTATGCGATATCTTGATGCCATTTTGATGGTAATTTATATATTAATAGAATTCCTCACCCATATTCGATAAAAACTGGGACAGTCGATTACCACTGGCTTCTCTTGAGGCGAATTTTTCACAAGCAAAATAATTCGCCACAGACAGGAACAGGCCTGGTATATAAGGAGGATGCATAATAACCCCCCAATCAAGCAGCCGGAGCATCTGCCGAGTGAGCAACTGGCAATTAGCTCCATGAGGTTTCTTGGCTTAACTCGTGTGGCATCCATACATTCAGTTTCGTTTTGTATCCAGCCTTAATTAAATAGTTCCTAACGGGGTTTTTAACCAATGTTCTCCCTGTTGGTTGGAAATGATAGTTTCCACTATATTATCGATATTTTCAACAATTTTCTTCACGGAGCATGGTGTATCTTTGACATCAAAAATCTTGTCTTCCTAAAGCCATATAGCGTAACCCGATATCACTAGTAATATGTATCTCATTTATTGGAAAAATAATATATATTTTTTCACAAGTACTTATACTACAATATAAAACGAAACAAAATTTGGCATAAATAGTAATCATAATGTGTGACATGTCTGTCCATTCTGAATGTCAGCTTCACTTTCGCTAGAACCCTATACCTTGTGGATGGAATATCCTCAAACAGAATCCAATACAAAATATGCTTTTTAAAATGTATTATTTACAACGTTATCTCTAGTGAAGAGAAAATTGGCAATAATAATTTTGTACAAGAAACTTTCACAAACAAATATTCAAAGCAAAATTTCGAGCATTCAGTTTATTTTTCTATGAAACATGCGCATATTCCACCGTAACACTTTAAGTAAAAATAAATACTTTTAAAATACACCAAAATTATATAATCTTATAAATCAAAACAGAAATCAGCCAACTTTTTTTGTTTTTTTTTTACAAAATTGTAACTGCAAATCTTAGCTTGTCACTACCAGCCCGCATTGTAACCCCCACGTCTGACCTCCTCCACAATCACGGTACCATCCGGTCGCACACGTTCTGTAATTGTATCCACTTCAACATTACCGTAAGGACCTTCCTTAATCACTTCAACTCTCTCTGTCACCTGACCGTATGGTTGTTGGTATGGCTGTTGGTAAGGTTGTTGATATGGTTGTTGATATGGCTGTTGATAAGGTTGCTGTTGGGGTTGCTGTTGGGGTTGTTGGTAGCCAGGTTCGTTTATATTCTCGGTGATGTTAATATCAACATTGGGACGATCGTGATGATGATGGAAGAAAGACATTTTGTGTTTACGACGCTTTTGTTATGGTACTAAAAAAGGACTCTACGTGTGCTTCACTTGCTAGCGACTATTAAAAACTGAGCGTTATAAAACGAAACGCTAATTTATAAATATTCTAAGAAATTCCGATGTTACTGGTCTATCTATTGTGCTGTCGAAAAGCAAATATTACTAATTGGAGCGATCGATCAAAAGTTTTATCATGGCTATGTTATTGGGAGCTTCATGTAATACTGATATAACTGAATGTGTGAAGAATTAAGCCCCAGCGGTAGTAATGCTTGATAAGAATATTAGGTATTCATGTAGCGCTGGGTGAGTCAACATAACTGTTTTAGTACAATGTTTATGAATGTTTTTATCGCAGTGATTTAAAATTAAGCCACGCGGAGTTATTTTGCCGACAAAAAACAAAATAATTACCAAAGGTATAACTATAAATATCTCTGGCGTAAACATTCAGCTGCTAATGCGTGGTCTGACCTATAACAAAGTCATATGTTTGTTGTATGTGAAACACTTTTTTTTACTAAAGAAATTATTTTGGTTACAAAATACAGTCTACATGGCCATTGGAGGTGGTTCCCAGGCCGAAATCTTTTAACCGCTCATACATTACTTAATATTTATTCTTTACAGAAATGTGACTAACTGTTTTAGACTTTGTCATTGTATTATTTTTAGACTAACTGCCTATGACGAATTGAATAACTATTTAATCAAATTATTTTATATTCAAAGAACACTTTCAGGTTATTTTGGTTTCCTAAACAGTGCCAATTAAGAGCCTATTACGATCAAACCGATCTGAACTTAAAGGTCAGGAAATTAATTTGGCGTCACAACAAAACTAAATAGCTTCAAAAATAAATCAAATGACCAGAAATTTGATTTGTTACTTAATAAAAATACATTAGAGTTTTCCTGGTGGAAATTTACAGTAGTTAATTTTCAGTAAATCTAGTCAAAAAATGGTTTTAAGAACTATTCAATTTGATATTTATTTTTGGTAAACTCAGAGTGTAAAGGGGTGGGTTGGATACCCAGCAAAAAAATTCTTCGTAAATAGCAAAAAAGTATTATTTCTAATAATAATAACCTATTTTTTAAACACATAATATTTTTGGTACTTTTGCCGTTTTGTTATAATTCAGTTATTATCACTGTCAAAATTAGAGAATTCTTATTCTTTTCTATTTCAATGCTTATTAAACCTTAAATACCTATGAAGAAATGTTTGGTTAAAAATAATGGACATAGCATCGCAAACAATGGCGTTGTTGTTAGTAACACATTGAAAATGGTTTTTATTTCTACATAAATTTATACCATAACTGTTTTTGCTACATGTGACAATCTAATCCAAAAAAGTTTCAACATTGTTTTGACAGTTATAAACGTATATATAGCAAACATTAAATGCTATTGCTAATAAAATTATCAGCTTGTTGCAATTTGATTAATTTTTCCTTCCATGTCGAAATAAAATCAAAAGTAACCCATTGTCAAGTTAGCGTCATTGAATTTGACATAACGACAACTGCACATCAGTCTATCACCGCATAAATAAAAATATTTATGCCACATTCATTCCTACTACGTTTTTTGACGCCACCGAAACCATTCGGCAATACTTTTTGTACGAGTATTTATTTTCAGCTGATTATAGATACGATTATGAACTAAATCTGGCAGAAAGTAGTGTTAATTGATATATTTCTACTCTTGGTTAGTAATCAGATGGCATTTTGCTCTGATTACAAATTTTAGAATATATATATTTATGGAAATCACAAAGAACCAGCGTTTACTGTTGTTCAAGTGGTATTCTGCATTATATTTGATGCGAAAATTAGACGTCTAACCTAATCTAACAAACATGCGACCCAACTCACTCAGAAAAAATATGCTGTCAATAGTTCAGAAAGGCACGTATAGCTGATTATACCCTGATCAGGGTATATTAAGTTGGCCACGATGTTTGTAACACCCAAAAGGAAAGGTATACATATATATAATTGATTAGCGTGAAGAGTTGAGTCGATTTAGCCATGTCCGTCTGTATATGGTATACGCGAACTAGTCCCTCAGGTTTTGAAATATCGATCTGAATCTCCAGTTTTTGTACGAAAAACTTTTTTATTTCACACGATATTTTCACGAAACTTGCCATGGATTATTATTCAAGGCAATGCTACAATATCTTAACAAATGCCCCACATCGTACGAGTATAACATATAGCTGCCATACAAACTGAACGATCAGAGTTAAGTTTTTGTATGGAAGCTTTTTTATTTATCTAGCTGCGATGCAACCAAAGTGCACGTTTTTTCTTGTTTTTAATGCTTTTTATTAAATATTGATGGGTATGGCCTTGATGCGTTCATAATTTTGTTTCTACTAATTAAAAAACAAACATATTTCTTGTAGACCTACAGAATAATTTCTCGAAACTCCGCAAAATAGATTAGTAACGACATTTTTAACGAACTCTATTGTTTACACTTTTCGTGAATTTTCTCTTTATTTTTCGTATGGTTAGAAGAAATCTTTTATTTTATAAAAAAAAAAAAACTAATTGATTCCAATTATTTTATTGTTAATCAAAACTGCATACAATACACTTTTTGAACTAAAAACGTTAAGTTTATGTACTTATGCAAGCTAAAAGGCAGAAAGTCCAGCATAGCTTCTGCAATGCATATAGTGATAAATATAGTGATATTCAAGTTAAAACTATCGAAAATGTTTTTCTACAATTGGTTGTTGTCATACTTATTTTTATTATATACAGCACACTATTTCCTTAATAGTTTTTAGATTTTACCGATAACTCATCATAAAATCAAACGACAACAGCAGTCTTATATAGAGATACTTTAGATCCTGTTTGGTCTTCAACTATGCAATATATTTCTAGCTACTACAAGTAATACACAACTAAGTTACGATAGGAGTGAACAGGTGCGTTGTACAAGGAATCAAGTAATATTATTTTCACTGCAAAACTGAATACAAATTATTAAAATGAAGTTAATGAAAAAACAGACTTTTCAACACTTTTAAATTTAATGTAAAAGCTTAAAATGTTGATAAACATAAATGCATTCAGTAACATAAAAATTAACGTCAGTGGATATTGTCTTAAGCGTTTCTTCCTGAAAACAGCTGAATAAAAACACCACTTCTAAGCACTTTTGGAAAACTACACTTTTGATTAAGTTATATCATAAACATATATTTATTAAATTAAATAAATAACTTAAAATAATTAACATTTTTATTGGGAAAGCGTAAGAAACATCACTCAGTTCAATTTTAATGAAATATATGTGTATATAATCTTCAATTAGCTTTTCACTGGAATTCACGTGAATTCCCACAGCTATTTCAGTGCTACCAACGCGGATTTGGCGGATTATTGTAATGTCGCGGATAGCTGTAGGCGCCAGCGCCGTTATTATAACTGCCATTATTGTTGTTGTAGTATTGTCCTTGCGGCGGCATATAAGGCGGAGGCGGAGGTGGTGGTGGCGGATAGCCGGCAGCATTACGCTGAGTCATAACTACGATCTCTGTGCGAGGAGGCGGCGGTGGAGGAGCTGGATTAAAGAACGCATCGACAATCCCTCCGGGAAAAATATCAATCTCAAAACCTGGACGACGATTGTTATAGTAAGGGCGATCGCAATATGGATCTTCGTAGTATACTATCGGTGGCGGCATGGTCCGCAATTGACCTCAATTAAACAATAAGTAATCCAAAAAATCTGCCTGAAGTGTGTGCGGTTTGAATACCAGCAGCTGTTATTGCTCTGGAACGTGTATTTGCTGGCAGCGTTGCGTTGAAACTGTCAGTTGAATAGCGTAATTGTTTACATATAACCAAAATTGTTAAATCAATGAGTTAAGGTGGATTACTTATGTAGAAATATAAATACCTATACAAAATAAAAATCGGGGATTCTTGGCAGCATTAATTGTGAATCAGTTTTGCCTGATAAGTTATGCGACCGTGTGTGTTTGTTTGTGCGAACTTATTTGAATTGATAAGGCTAGACAAATTACGCGTGATTATTTTTATCAATTAGGAATTATGGTGATAATGCGAAATTTTGCACTGAAACTCAAGTAAAGGTTAATGTATATTTTCCAAAAAAAATTCAAACAAGAAAGACGTTAACTTCGGCTGCACCGAAGATATAATACCCTTACAAAAACATAAAATTCTTTACAAGAACTTGATTTCGATCGTTCAGTTTGTATGGCAGCTGTATGCTATGGTGATCCGATCAATTTCTTTATAGATTACATGTTTGGCTTTGGTAATAACTTATGCCAAATTACGTAAAGATATCTAGTCAAATGAAAAAGTTTTCATACAAGCACTTGATTCCGTTTTCAACTTATATGGCAGCTAGGTATGTATGTTCTTATTGGTCCGATCGATAAAAATCCAATCCTTGAACCTTTTGCTGATCATTATTCAGAATAATATAAAAAAATACAAATTTATTGTAACCGAAAACGTTGAACATTTTCTGTGCAACTAGCAAAAATCTTAAATCGATTTTGAAATTTATTTTTTATAAAGTGTTAATATTCATCTAAGCATTTGTAAACATGTTTATGCATGCATGTATTTTTTATACGGACTTACTCTTTACTATGTTGACTTTCCGATCATAAAGGAGCGTGCTTGTCTCGGCATTCAATTACTCACATTGCCTTCCAACACAAACGCGCACAAACTTGAATTGAAACTTTCACAACACTTTACACAGCACACAAAGGCGAGCTAACTAACGAATTAAAATTTCACCAAAATATTCACTAAACACTTTACACAATTTAATTTTTTACTATAAAATATTACGTAATAACTTTCGCGTGGAAATATTTATTCACTTGACTTTGATGCACATATGTAAACTACAGAGCTTATCTGTTATAACTGGCATTCATGCTTATTTGTGTTGTTCGAGAGCGCTTATCCTTCTCATTAGTGCTCAATCATAACTGGCATTTCATGAGATAATTCAGTTGTGTTCTTGTTTTTGTTGTCTTCCCGATAAGTGATGAAGCGATAGGCTCTCGTGATATAATTTACTCGCATGCGATATTTTATATCAAATGCATGCTATCTTAATTGGTACAACTTATTTTATGCAAATTCGCATGTGCTTAAGCGCTCGGTATCACCTGATTTTGCTGTTTGTGCGGGCGAAAGTTGTCTTTTCTTGCGAATCAATAGTTATACCTTTGAATAGAATAAAATAATGTATTAAACTTCTACTATTGATTGGATACTTATCGACTAAATTAAATTATTTTTAAGGTATTGATGTAAATACTTCTTTTAAGCACTCTTCGCATGCATTTAAAGTATTCTCAGAGAACTTAAAATTTAACTAGATATGTATTTTTTTACATTCTTTTAAATGTAAATGAACGTTAACATTCAATTCTGAGTTTACAAATTTACTGAAGTCATTTTTCGAATGGAAAAGTACAAGTTTGTGTGAAAAGAAATATTTGACTTTAGAAAATTGTATAATATATTAAAGCTTAAAAAATTATTGCATAATCGGTTAATAGAAAATCTATTACATTCTGGTGCGCAATAATTTTCGCAAAATTTATTGCGTGAAGTAATCGAAAACTAGCCAAAAGCGAGTCGACCTTCCACCTCTGGTAATGACGTTAACGTCGAAAAATTAAAGAAACAGTGCTTGAAAATTATCGTGCCGGCATCAGAGCGACAGCAGAGAATCTTAACATCTCTTATGGATCGACACAATCATTTTGGTTAAAGTTTTGGATATAAAGCATGTCAATGCTGGACTCGCACTAAAAGATCTGAATCTTTTGAGATGGAGTTGATGATCCTACATTCATCAAGCGCATCATTACTACTGATGAGACGTGGGTTTATGTATATAACGTTGAAACTGTTCAACCATTTTGCGATGGGCGCTGCAAAAATGAGTCGAAATGGAAAAACCAAGATTAAGACTTATAACAGGTGTATGTAATGTTGGACTAAGCGTTGCTTTGCTTGTATTAAAATACGTGAAAATGTTGTTGTTTTTTGTCAATCCGGGTCAAATTTGATCAGATGTTAAATATAAGCATTTTTTCCAATAGGGGTTGTTACTTGGCCCAAATCTCAAAAATAAACTAAAATTATACTCACAGCTTAATCTAGTTGTGTAAAGTGCCCTTGGCACTATTTTGAATAAAGAGACTTATTACAAAAACTCAAAAAAGGATTTCTGAGTTTGTGAAGAAAGCTTTTATTATGCACTTTTAATAGAGTGACTAGAAATAAGTGTTATATATTCGTTTATTTATTTATGCGAAAAAGCTTTGTTGTTTACCTTACGATATGACATATGTAGATATGTAGGTTTTGCATGAAAAGGTAGGGAAAAGCAAGAGACGGCGATTGGATGAGAATTCGAGAAAGGTATGCACGACACATATAATTTAAGTTACTCAGATACCAAATAGACTGCACGTATTACACTTACTCAGTTCGGACTATCATGCAAACATTTTTTCTTATAGCGGTCGTCACTCGGTAGACAATCGCAAAGCCTTATTTATAATATTTAATAGCTGCTCGGAGTCGGCCTAATAATATCAAATAGGTTTTTTCATTTTTCGAAGGTTAAGCTCTAACAAGTATCTACCTGAGAGTTTACACGTAGAAAAGCCGTATGAGGTACAAATGATCAAATAAGATTTCGATTATGTCAAGATCCACGAAGTTGGATCAACTGCACGGTTCAACTACAAATGAGTCCACGGGTCGAAACAACCATTAAAACAAAAAAAATAAACATCTAAGTCATACATATAAGTATACTTGTAGTGTGTATAATATATCTCCATAAAATTTGTATAGTCTCAATATGGACTTAAGCGCTCTATTTGACGGGATCTTGGTGTCGTGAACTAAATCTACAGAACTACCACTAATCAAAATTCATTTATTATCTATGAATAAGGAAGTAAAAAAAAAATTGTTGTAAGCTTTTTATTAAACCCTTGAGCTTGAACGCATACGAAGAACAAAGCATTCGCTGATAAATGATTTATGACAATTGATAACAACAGGCTGATAACACTGGAGACACAAATAAACTAAAATATAGCATTTCTTAAGAAAAACGAACACTCCTTGCACTGAATGGTAAACAAAGTTTTATTAAATACTTTTAAGGAATCATATATAATACACATATATAAATAAAAATATATATTGCACCATGTCAGGTGTCCTACTAACTAGTTCCTTCAAAAGTGAACTTAAACACTAAATTGATCCAATTGACTTCAAGCAAATTGCTCAATAATGTGGCGGATTGTGGTAGTGTGATCCAGGTGCCGGCGGCGCCGGTGGATAGTAGCCACTACCGTATGGTGGCGGTGGCGGCTGTTGTCCTGGTACAACCACAACGACTGGCTGACTGGGCGGTGGTGGCGGCGGTGTTGAGTGGTGGTGGTGGTGATGGTGATGATGGCGTCGTCGCCACGGTGGTATAATCTCCACTTTAACTAATGGTCGCCGTGGCGGTCCCGGTGGTGGTGGTCCGCCGCATGGTGGTGGTGGTGGCGGTGTCATTACACTAATCAATCTCTTTTACAAATGTTGGAGTGCTGCTTCGCCTTAATTGAATTGCTCTACTAGGTCTAATGCTACGTCTTAATTTGCCGCTGTCCAGTTACTTACTGTGTGTGTCAGCGTAATGATAAATGAAGTAGCGTCTGCTCATTAGAGTTGGTCGCAATACGTTCGCAATGTTCGCAGTTAGTTATCGTTGTGACACCTGTATAGGCTATGTGTGAAATCAATAATCGTAAATTCAGAGATTACTTATCGTTGTGCGGTGAGCGTTGCATTGCACAGAGGTGTTGTAAAGATAAGCGCTGTGGCGCTGTGATAAAATGGTGTGCATTTACTTTAATTGTGTGTTATTGCACCGCTGCTTGGTGCAGATGTGGAGATTGTGGTGAGGTGCATCTGTGTATGTACACATATGTGGATTAGGCTTTTATGGAAAGCACTTTTATTGATGACTCAGTTTTCAAAACTTGTTGTTGAACTATGAATAGCAATTTTCACACGATTATGTTTTGCACAGTTTCTTTTACTGCGATATACATACTTGTACAGTGGAACGAAACGGCTTTGTAAAATGTCACTGAGCACTACCATCTGCTCAGTCAGAAAGAAAAAGCGTCTTCTCGAACCGTTTAAAGGTGAATTTCAAAAAATCGATTTTCTTTTATGCATATTTATCTAATGTACATATAGCACAAAAATCAGCCACACTGTCAGACACATTTTTTCGGAGTTCCTTCTGGAGATTGGCTACGCCACAAAGGGAATTCCAATTTTTTCAAAATGATTCGCAGATTACTAGTTTAGGTTAGGTTAAGAGGTCGATTCTAACAGGGATATCATTTGGGCAGCTTAGAACGCCGGTTCGTTGTGTTATCTAAAATTCCTATATAATTGATCCTCACAAGTCGACAAAGCGCTATTACAAATATTTTGAGGTGACTAATATCAGTTTCAGCTATGTCTTTTATTAATATATTACTTTTATTTTACTTGGTATATGTTATTTTTTTAATCGATTGTGAAAATTTATCGTTAAAATATTTTGCTAAATTCATATTTTGGGTTTCAGTTTTATCCGTCATAAATAAAGTTATCAATTATTTTTGTTTTAATCGTTGATTATTATCGATAAACTTGAAAGTTATTATTTTTGATCTTAGAAAAAAAAAAATACTGTTATAATTGATTGATGTTTGACCGGAAACTAAGTATTATATGCAAAATATCGATAACTTTTTTTTCTTGAAAAAAAACAGGTATTCCGAATAATCCACAAAAAAAATTCATATTGATCAAGTACGGTCAAAAAATATTAAAACCAAGGCTATGCATTAATTTATCGGAACATATTGTCGATAAAATTTTAATGAAGAGAAAAAGCAACAATTCCATAACGAAAAATTATGTTTTAATATTATATATAAATTATGTTTATCAAGAAAAAAAAACACCTAATAACTATGAAATTAGATGAAATCGATAAATTTTAAATTAAAAACTATTGATAACTATTATTCTTCAGTAAGAAAAACGAAAACTGCGACCAGTTTTGATCGAAAGCTTAATCACAAAGTATCGAAATTTTTTATTGAGAAATGAAATCTATATTAAATGTTTACTTTTCTTCGAAGAATTTAAGATCACAAAATATCGATAAATTAAATATCGATTATTGAATAAATAGAAGCAGAAAAGTAACAAGTACTTTTTACTTGAAAACAGCATATTGGTGAAACTTGGTATAGTTAAGGTGGGATTTATCCATAGATGCCGAAAAAAATATTTTTTCGCGATTCAGTTTGGATAAAATGAATGCAATGAAAATGTATAATAAATAAAATAAAACATTGTTAACATAATGAAAAATAAAAAAATTTACTTTTGATGCTTTCCGTAAGTCATGACATTGGAATCGGTGTAAAAGATCTAGATCATTTTTATCTGATATCATAAAATCAAGCATTATTTTACCGGAGAGGATTTGTGTACTCTAGATAGACTACGATCATCGTGAAAATGAGGCTTCCAAAAAATTTTCGCTTTTGCAAAAGATTGTTCTTTTGAAATCTGAATGAATGTCAACTACTTTCAAATGACATACCTTCAACACTTTTTACGATCGGCTTTTGAAATTTTGAAATAACTTTCTTAGCATATCTATCGATTAAGAATAATTGGTATGAAAGAGTTGATGTTGTTGCGCACTGAAGACGCTATTGCTGCTGTGGAACAGAGTATCGAAGAAGAACCGAATGAGTCCATCGGCCATCGCGCAAACAATTAAAGCTGTGCACAGCAACTTTATGGAAGATTTCGCGAAAAACCCTTGGTTTGCGGGCTCAAAAAAGCCAAATCGTGCAAGAATTGAAGCCGAACGACCATGAAGCGCGATTCGATTAGCTACAAGGGAAGTACTATCTCAAACAATAGCCTAATTGTAGGCAATATTAACTCTCTTCGCATACTAATACTTCATATACTAAATATTTTTGACAGGTTACCAATATCGTTGGGATATGCCCGTCAAATAGTGATTTAGAAGTGGGTGAAGACCTGAATTCACTGGAAATTTAATGTTGAGAAAAGTTTATGCATACATTTATGCTGCCAAACTTAAATTTTAGGTGCATATACATATGTATGTATGTATGTAACTATATGTATAAGATTTCGAGTAAAAATCATTTCAGAATATAAATTACCACCTCTTTTCTTACAGCATGAAATTGAAATATGTGTGTTTGTAAAGGTTCATATGCACATGTGTGTGTGTGTATGCGTGTCTGCTGCAACGTTAATGCGCCTTGCAAAATTTATGCTATACTGTCAAAACGAAATCGCATGACAGCGACTGTCAAATTTTCTCCTCCTTTCAACCTCAACATTTCCATATACATATACTCTCGCAAAAACTTTATTATTTATTTCTTTTGCTGATTTTATTTTCAAAGCGAAGTTGAAATTAGACGATGCAAACGTACGAAGATAAAGAAAATAATAAAAGAACTGCACGCAGTTACCCGTAAATCGATAACTGTCAAATGTAGGGAATTTAAATATTTATCGAATACCAAAATTGATACAAACACACACACACAAACATGATATGTGTATTTATGTGTGCTTGTGCTTGTGTGCATGTGACGTTGCATGAGTGGCAAAAAAGAGTTGAATATGAAATGAAAAAGCAGTTGAAAGACGCCTCCATAGCCACGACGCATATTTGCGCGCACACAGACACACACACACACATACATGAATTGGCAATAAGACTCAGCTATGAAGTTAAGACCGAAAAGAAGTGCTGCAGCGTAGTCAGAGAGGCTCCGTCGCCGCCAACAATCGCAGCTAAAGAGTACGAAGTGAATTACACAGTGAAGTGCTGCCACGGTGTCTTGGGAGCCAGGCTCTGGCGAGAGCAGCTGCAGCGAACACATACACACACGCATGCAGTAACATATTCATTTTATGTGCAAGTGAATATTATTATTTTGCCGCACGTATACATACATGTACATAAATGGATACTCATACACATAGACACATGTATATTTAATATATTAGGGTGGAGAGAAAATTTTTTTTTTGGCTTATCCTGGGGACTTTTTGGCCCAATTTTTAAACACCACGCATTCAGTTTTAAAGTACATTTTCGAGTTAAAATTTTTATTTCGTAAAAAATGTTTGATAAGTGTTCTAGAAGCTGTGGAGAGTCCTCTTTCTGGCCAATTAAAATTTATCAACTTAAAAAATTTTTTGTGGTCATTATTGGAGTTTAAAAAACAAGTCTTAATGACCCACATGCTTTCCTTAAGCGTTAATATAAGTTTTGAGTCAAAAACCGTCGAATTCGGTATATTTTACTATATAACAACGTGAAGAGTTTAAATCAAAAATAATTTTTTTTTGTCCAAAAATTTTCTTTTTTATAATCTACAGTTTTTACCCCCAGGCTAAGCAAAAAAAAAAAAAAATTTCGCTCCATCCTAATATATATATATATATATATATGCATGTGTCTATGTGTATCCATTTGTATACGTATATGTGTGCCTGCCTCTATGCAGTCTGTCAGTGGCAACACAAGACAAGTCACTTCACACAGCCATTAAATGGAATTTTACTACAAGGCGAAGGAATTGCGTTGAGAGCTTGCAACCGCAGCGGAGCATCGACAACAGTGCCACCAAAAAGTAAATGCGCTGTTACACACACATAGGTATATGTGCAAATGCATGTGTATTAGTGAAAATATACGCACACTTGCATACAGTTGCTTGTAGTTTTGTGGCCAAACGCAGCGTCTAGGACGACTACAACAATATGAGCGATAACTACAACAACAACAACAAATGACTACAACGACGACGACGACATTTCAATTTAAGAAATGCATTTTATAAAAATTTTAGGTGTTCAGTGTTACCGAAGCGTTGCTAACTGACTGACTGCTGACTGTGCAAACTTGCTGCTGCAGCAATTTAAATTTTCTTCTTCTTCTTCATCTCTTCTTTTGCTGGTTCTTTTGTTTTTGTCTCTTTGGCTTTGAGTGGAAATTAAACTTTAGCGTTTCTGCGGTTTGACAGAAATTTTTGATTTGCGGTCGAGTTTTGCTTTATCTTTTTTTGTACCAACTTAGCTTGTTGCACAAGTGTGTAATAAGGAGTGTTCCTCACCTAACGGTTGTTTGTAACATTTTAGAATAATCGATGGTGATATGAGGTTATATATAATACAAATATATAAAACCTAACTGAATGACGAAAGGATTTCCGAATGGTTGTCCGTATACCTAATTATTTTGGGAATCCATAATCTGAGAAAGAAAACTTTGAGGAGTCGAAATGAAATTTGAGAAAGTCTAAAGAGTTTGGTGTTACAAAAGCGGCATGTGCCATTCAAGGCTTTATTTGCAAATATCTACCTTAATAAAAACCTATAACTATTAAGTAAAGACCTATAACTAATAAAGCAAAACGAGCATTTAGACAGGTTGTCACACAAAGCTGGAGCCAAAATGGCACAATCCTCTAAAAAGCTATATAAATCTAAAAAATAAACAAGCAAAATCGTTAACTACGGTTACACCGAAGCTAGAATAGCCTTCACAAATAAAGAAGTTTCCATACAAGTATTTGATTTTGATCGTTCAGTTGATATGTCAGCTATATGCTATAGTGACCTGATCATTAAATTTTCTGAAGATGTCTCCTTAAATGAAAAAGTTCTCCATACAAGCA